AACTCAATCTGACTAATCCTCTTGACCTTTCAGCAAGGTTGGTTAATGGATTTCTACAAGGAAAGAAAATGTGCCCTTTCAAAGGCGAGCTGCAGTTTTGATCACTTGGTGAGTAAAACCCCATAACTTAGGTAAACACAATTAAAACCAAGTCCCTTCTTACATTTATCAAGGACGTATTAAATATATCCAGTAAGTAACAAAATAAAGGTTTATAATAATGTTATCTCTCTCAGTCACTTAGAGCCCAGTGAATCATGGTGTTGTATTTTCACTCCTCTCCAAACAGAGGAAGACATAAAGGGCAACATATTCATCATAAATACAAGTTGTGTAACACAAAAAATCCCATTCACTTTTCGCTTTCACCAGGTTTTGCACTGTTTGCCCACAAAACACATACAGTCACTGCACTTTACAGTATATCCTTTGAAGTACTTGGGATGTCCTCCTGATGTGAAAGGTACTTTAACCAAATGTAATGATTATTAAAATTATTTTGAAGAATTTGTCAATGTCCTCCATCCACTGCAGGTCGATTAGACCCCTTCAGTGATATGACTCAAACCCACTGCACTGAATATTTAGCAAAAACGAAATAACTTTGAAAGATCTTTATATAATACATAGGGTTTATAATGACATTCCAGTTACACTTGCATGTATCTCAGGACTTGCATTGGCTAAAGCGTATTCACTGCACTTAGAACAGAGTAAAGCTTAGTAGAGAATACCATAGATTTAAAATAAAAATATTTAAAGTCCAATGCGTGAATTAAACTCTGAGATTTTATTCAAAGTAATTTTCTTATAGAGTAAACGATTTGGAACAGTGGAAATACTGTAGATCCAAAAGGACTCTCTAGACTGGATGGAGGTTTGGCTAACATTAACCCATTTTTACGGTTCAATTTTGATTATCTATAAAAACAGGTGCTATAGTTCTCCTGTCTAACCCTTTATGTAATACAGAACAAATCTTTTAAATTCTGACCATCACATGTCCTGTGTCTCTACATTGATAAACACATTTCTTTTGTAAAACTACGTTACTCTGCCTTCACATTTCATTTAGAATTGATCAAAACAGCTTGTAAAACATTCATCGGGTTTGTAGCAAGTTTCATTCTAATAACCCAACAGCATTATTGGTTCCTGGAAAGCTTAACGTTCGGAAGAGGTATTGAAAGAAAGTCCAAACTAAAATAAACTCATCGGAAAAGTCCACAAATAATGTGCCTTTTGCGACTTATTAAACTCAGCTTGGAAAGTAGTTGCAGATTTTGAGAACATGTTTTGCAGTGAACCAGCTATTCAAGGAACTCAGTCTCCATGAGAACTCCTCGCTATGACAACACTGCAGCATTAATATCCAACGCATGCTTTTTTATCCCAAGCACATACCCTGCTAAGCCTGTACAATTATAACACCAGACCACGTCAATATATAAGGAATCAGTGGCAATCTACAAAATGTACTTAAAGCTTTGCTGAATATTAGCATTAAAAAGTCTTTGGCCCACCCCAATGTCAAATGTCCAGTACTGTACGATATTAGCAATGTTGCAGCAATTGTAAATTCTGCTGAGGGAAGCAGGCAGGACCACCTGGAAAGAGGCAACCATCCAGTGTTAGTCCTGCAGGCTGGCAATAATAAACTCCAGCTGGTGTGAAAACCACATTCACTGTCAAATCTTCTTTGGGGGAAAAATTATTGTTGCCCCGTTGCATGGCCACTCATTTCTAGCTCTGATTGATTCTATTCAATCATTGAAAAAGCTCCCTGATTGTCAGAGGCTTGTAAACAAGTGTCCTGTGTATTGCTCGAACTGTGTTAAGTATGGCCTATTCCACACTGACAACCCCTTATGTTCTGATGGAGCCTACAGCATTAAATAATTACCAGCTTTAATGTGAGCTTAATTCCTTTACTGAGGCTGACAGCACAACACAGTTACATAAATCTGGCTCAGGAGTCAAGACGAACAAATAAAATGATTCAGTATGCAACAATCTGTTCCTATCAAGATTGGCGTTTAATTTTTTGTGTGGAATTTGTTTTGGACTGCACCGTTTGATGTCACAGTTCACGTTGAAGGCAGTGAGAGCGAAATGGAATGACATCCAAATGGTTCTCCAACTGAGAGTCAAGCAGATCAAACACAAAATACATGCATCCCATTCTAGGGCAGATGGATTGAATGATAATTTGCCCACCAAACGTAGACTCAAGGCAGCCAAAATCAACACATCCTGCTCAATGTTAATAACAGCTACTACACTGCCAGTCATTGCACTACAACCTGCTACGAGTAACTGCCTTGCCATTCAGCAATGCTGAATCCCAAGCACAACCCAACACTTACACTGACTGCACTGTGCAGTGCTGTATGCCTTTCATGAGAACAATGTGTGATTGTCTGACAATTATAATAATAATCCTTGCGTTTGATATATTGTGTGATACGATTGAAAAAAAGTAAAAATACTTTTAAACAACAGTCCATAACATGCATTACATTCAAGTCCCCTAGGGTGGTAGATTCTTTCACTAACTGTGTGTGTATAAAAAAGCAAGTTTGCAGACTCTCTCTCTGGTTCCCTGCAAAGAGTTAGATGACTTCTGTTACTTTTCATCCAACACTCTGCGGGAACCTCGTGGAGGTAGGGAGATACAGTCGCTTTCATTCATAAGGATCCAGCTTCAAGCTGATGGTTTTCTTTCTCTCTCTCTCTCTCTCTCTCTTGGCAGGGGGAAGTTTTAAAAAAGCGAAAAAAGAGAGAGAGTTCTCCCAGCGGTAAGAAAAGCGCAGCAGCCAAGAAAGTCTTGGCACCACGTGTGGATCCGTCTGCTCTAATCCATTCATTCATCAAGAAGGGAACCAGATGGAGGATTAGAGCGAATTCCAAGCGGCCTTATTACAGCCAGCTTTTAGACTGTATTCAAAACCCCGCTTGGAGTCGCCAGCTTTTATCATCACCTAATTATTATCATCCTGGGTAAAATCCCACTCAATTTGTAATCTGTAAAATCTATCAAAAAAAGGGGGAACAGTTAAGGCATCTAACATGATGGGATTATTAGTGTCTGTGTGTATGTATATGGATGTGCCTGTATGTACGTGTATATGTATGTGTGTGGGGTGAGGGTGTTGTTTTGAAAACTTTTGCCACAATGAAGCAGGCTACAATGTCACAATACTGAAGCACACGTTTACCCAGTGTGTGTACATATATATATATAAAAAGTTATTTAAACCCTTTCCTAGGTTCTTACAGACATGAGAGAGAAGGGGTGGTGGGGGGGGGGGGGGGGGGGGTGGAGCTTTCCGCTTTAAGGGGACAAAACCATACAGGCAAAACACAGTGGTGGGATTTCATTTGAAACAACAACCTGCCTGTTAAGAACGTTGGATTGTGTGTCAACGATCCGAGATGTGTTTATTTCTCTTTGCAAAGGATTTAAGTGCAACAAACCGCTGGACTTCAAACCTTTATCTTTCGACACGCCTCGTTGCCCACACTGCAACCAGTTGACCCTCTTGTTATTTTTTTTTGGGGGGGGGCGAGGAGCGAGAAAGTGTCTCCGTCACTTCAAAAGGAATAATGAGTGACTGACACTTTTTGAGTCCCAAACTCATCTGATAGTCACTTTAGTACGGTTATCAACCCGCATCCGACAACAAACTAGGAATATACACACACACACACACACACTTCAAAGACAAGAACAAGCCAGAACATTTAAATAAGACTTTTCTGGACAACAAGAGACTAAATGTTCACTCATAAACCACATGCTAGTTTTCAGGGGGGGGGGGAGAGCTCAGATATCATACTAAACTCTCAGTAAGTTACAACACAGGAGAGAGCCCTGAAAAGGCATGGATCTTAAGGCTCTCAGGCAGGCTGCCAGACTGCAGCTCCTTTGAAGTAAGAAAAACATCCTTTGCTTTGAGTACATTTAAACATTTTTTCTCAGTGATCACCTGAATTCTTAGAACCCAGCGGCGCCCCTTTAAACTTTTCCAACAAACTCTCCTTATCCTCTCTCTCTTCCTCTCTCTCTCCATCACACACTCATCCACCCCCCACCCCCTCTCTCTCTCCCTCCCTCCCTCCCTCCCAGAGAGAAGCAGGGAGATAAGAGACATTGGCTCCTGAACACAAGTCAATTCCACTTCAGAAGTCTGCATTGCACACAAAAAAATATATATGGGGAGGAGAAGAAGGAGGTGATGGGTGGGTGGGGAATGTGTGTGTGTGTGGTGGGGGGTGGGGGGTGGGGGTTGGGGGGTGGATGCTAAGAACATCTTTCAGACTGGAGTTTGGGATGGAGTGGGCAAACAAACGCTGGTTTCAATAAAAAACCAAACTAAAAGCGACTGGGAATGAAAAAAGCTGCTCAGAAAAGCTCTCCATCCGACGTGTGAGCTGCGGGGGTTGTGGTGGGGGGGGATGTCGGTTCGAGGCACATCTTCCAGGATGGAAACTGCGTGTCTCTCTCTCTCTCTCTGCCCCCCCCCCCCCCCCCCCCCCGTTTAAATAAAGACGATTTCCTCCCTCCCTCCCTCTCCCTCCCTCCCCAAAGGCAATGTGCGCATTTTTTTTTGCATTTTGCTCCTGCATCAGCTGTTCCCACCAGCAATTCTATTTCAGCAGATATTTCTATTTCTTTTGCAACCCCCCCCCCACCCCCTGCCCTGCAACCCCCCCCCCCCCCCCACCCCGTGCAAAACACACACAGACACACACACACACACACACAAGAGCGCAGTGCTGCAGAGCTGCAGACTGGTTAGAGAGAGAGAGAGAGAGAGAGATTGAAGGCTCTCACACTCGTTGCCCATCCTCTGCCCCTCATCTCCTGCTCCCGAGGGTCGATTGCAAAAGAGCTGAAGCCTTTACCCCCACCCCACCCCCCACCACCCATCCCCACCCGAGTGTCACTCGCCCAAGGCTTCCCAGCAGATTAAACAGGGAGCCGGGGAAGCCCTTACCGTGGTGGAGAGCCTGCGGGCTGCTGTGTCGGAGGTTTGCTGGTGCTGTCCCAAGTCGTACTTCTGTTTGGCGATCCAGTCCTCCAGACCTTTCCGACTCAAACACGCGTTGACCACAAAACTATCACCTGCACACACACACAACATACACACCACATACACACCACACACACAACATACACACAACATACACACCACATACACACCATACACACACACACACACACAACATACACACCACACACACACCACACACACACACACACACCATACACACACCACACACACACCACACACACAACATACACACACACACACACCACACACAACATACACACCACATACACAACATACACACCACATACACACACACAACATACACAGCACACAACACACCACACACACAACATACACACCACACACACAACACACACACACACACCATAACACACACACACACACACAACACAACACACACACACCACAAAAAGAGAAGAGAAGACCCACAGTCAGTCCCAAGTCGGGTCAGTCCACCAGAAGCTCCAGTAACAGTAATAAATAACCCCCAGGAAAACTTTCTCGGGAAAAGTCTTGTAAAAAGTTTGGACGCAACGCACATCACACGCACACAAAACTTTTTTTTTGCATTGGAATGATATATATCTATATTATATCAATATATATATATACATATATAATTTTTTTTAAGGAGAGAACAAAAAAGCTCACCTTCGGGACTTTCTCTGGGTTTACAAACGGCAGCTGTTCGGTTTGGAAACGGATAAAATAAAAAGATAAAAACAAGACTCGTTATTGCCATTACATATATATATATATCTACACACACACACACATATTAGAGAGAGAGAGAGAGAGAGAAATTAAAAGTTTGCAATTGCTTAAATTAAAAAAAATACAGGTACGAATAAATGAATGAATAAATGAATAAATGAATGGATCAATCGATCAATCAATCAATCAATCAATCAATAAATAAATCAATCGGGGGGTGCCCGGGCGGGTGGGTGTGCAGACCCCACTGCTCACCATGTTTGGAGTGGAGTTTCCCCATCTTCTGTCTGTCTACCGGTGTTTGCGCATCTGACTGTGGCTGTGTTTGGGGAACATTTGGACGTGGTGTGTAGTCCCGGGTTTAGAGATCCATGTGCTCCTGATCCTCCCTCCCTCCCTCCCTCCGATCAGGGGAATTTCACTCCATCATCCTTCACTGCTCTGCTCACTGCTCACTGCTCTCTGCTCTGCACTGAATGATCCCCGTGTCTACACTCGGGAAGAGAATGCAATGCATCTCTCTCTCTCTCTCTCCCTCCCTCTCTCTGCCTCTTGATCCCAATCCCCTCCTCCCCTCACCCCCCCCCCCCCCTCTCCCTCCCTCCCACCCACACACACACACACACACACCCCCCAAAAAAAAATGCTTTCACCCACCAGGGGACATGATTGACACCTCAATGAGGCCACAGCACTTTTCTGGCCAGCCCCCACTTTTATTGGTTGGCGGGCGGCGGATGAAAGGAAACTTGGTTCCTTTGGAGAATCCGAAATAAGGAGCAAAGCTCCAAACATTCACTCCCAGGCAGGCAGGCGAGGCAGGAGCAGCAGCCAACGGAGCCAGAGGCAGGAGCGAGGAACATCAATCGGCGCACACTCGCACACACACACACTAGCACACACACACACTAGCGCACACACACACACTAGCGCACACACACACTAGCGCGCACACACACTAGCGCACACACACACTAGCGCACACACACACCAGTGCACACACACACTAACGCACACACACACACTAGCACACACACACACTCGCACACACACACACTAGCACACACACACACTAGCGCGCACACACACTAGCGCACACACACACTAGCGCGCACACACACTAGCGCACACACACACTAGCACACACACACACTAGCGCACACACACACACTAGCGCACACACACACTAGCGCGCACACACACTAGCGCACACACACACTAGCACACACACACACTAGCGCACACACACACTAGTGCACACACACACTAGCGCACACACACTAGTGCACACACACACTAGCGCACACACACTAGCGCACACACACTGGTGCACACACACACTAGCACACACACACACTAGCACACACACACACTAGCACACACACACACACACTAGCGCACACACACTAGCGCACACACACACTAGCGCACACACACACTAGCACACACACACACTAGCGCACACACACTAGCGCACACACACACTAGCGCACACACACTAGCGCACACACACTAGCGCACACACACTAGCGCACACACACATTAGCACACACACACACTAGCACACACACACACTAGCGCACACACACTAGCGCACACACACACTAGCACACACACACTAGCGCACACACACACTAGCGCACACACACTAGCGCACACACACACTAGCGCACACACACACTAGCGCACACACACACTAGCGCACACACACTAGCGCACACACACACTAGCGCACACACACACTAGCGCACACACACATTAGCACACACACACTAGCACACACACACACTAGCACACACGCACACACTAGCGCACACACACATTAGCACACACACACTAGCGCACACACACTAGCGCACACACGCAAAGCACACACACACAGCACACACTTAGCAGGGCGAAACGTTAGGCAAGTTTCCTTACTCCACACGCCTCTGTTTACCCAGCAGTAAGTAGGAACCCGGTTGTTAGTCGATTGGTGGCTGATCGCTTTTCCCTGGGGGTAATAATCCGTTTAAAAAAAATGAAAAGCAGTAAAACTTTGGTCACTTCAATCCACGACTGTTTGTGGGACGCTGCTGTGCCCAATTGGCTGGCGTGTTTCGTCCACAAAATATACAGTCAATTCACTTTACAGTATATTTTGTGAAGTGCTTTGAGACGTCTCAGAGACGTGACAAGGCACTGTATCAAATGCAAGGATTATTATTGTTCTATTAGCAACAACAAATTACATTTGCAAAGCGCCTTTCACGTCAGTACACAATGTATCATTAATAATTCCCTTCTGAAGGTGCACAGCAATGGCCAAGTGACATTTCGTCAGATACAAACTATCCAGAGAGGAGTTAAGTAAATGTTTACAGACCGTTTGATCATGGAGAGAGTTAGGAGCTCAACCAAACCTGTTCCTATCTTCACTCCAGTTTCATCCACATATAACAATAATAATAATAATAATAATCCTTGCATTTGATATAGTACCTTATCACATCGCTGAGACACCTCAAAGCGCTTCACTCAATACACTGTAAAGTGAATTGACTATATACCTATATACCCTTTGGGTGAGCACACAGCAGTGTCTGGCAAAGAGTTGTGGATTGAGTGACTAAATTATTGTTTTTTTAAGGGATTATTACCTCCGGAAAGTGATCTGCCAATCAACTAACAACCAGGTTCCTACTTGCTGCTAGATATAGTAGCAGGGGCTAACGGAGCAGTGAGCAGGAATGGAAACACTGGTCCATTTTGTCACCTCTCTGAACTCAGGGACATTGAGGCTAACTGACTGTAGTTCCCACAATCATGATGGATTAACTCAGCAGCAATCGTACACATGAGTCAGAACTCAAATCGACCTTTCATCTTGAACAGCATCAAAGTAGGCAACAAAGCTACTGTTACCCCTGTTCATCAGATTCTGCTCATTTATAAAACATTTGTGTTGATCTTCATATATCACATGGCTGCCTACTCCTACAAATTGCTTGGAATCAAAATATTTTCCAATTTAAGATGAATCGTAGAGAAACTCTGAAACTGGTCCCAGTTGTGTTATTACCTGGTGTAAGTCTGGCTACTGTGTAGGTAGGCTCTTTGATCTCAACCATCCGAGTGCTTTGTATGTGTGTATTTGTGAAAATGACGATGTTCCTGGGTGTGCTGAACAAAAGGACACTTTATGAGGCTTATTACTGCAATGTGTTGTCCTACAGGCAGACACTGAGTAATCAATCCCCTCTTCAGATGACTGAGCTGGCAATAAAGGACTTCAAAGACAAGCCAGCTCCTTCCCCAGAGACTTTCTCTCCATCAACCTGAAAACCATTAATAACAATAAAACATTTTTTAAAAGGTACTTGTTAAACTTTCTCTCCTTGTTGCGGGTGCTGTCAACAATGGCCCGTGTGCTGGCAGTGTACATTAGATCAGACAACCAACTGAACAAATGATTTCTAGAGGGGGAGTGGGGGGGAGGGGGTGGGGGGTGAAGGTGAATTGGCTTCTGCATCTGTCTCTCCATTACTCTCCAGGGTTCACTAAGCACTAAGTTAAGCTGCCTATTAGGTCTCTATCTATATATATACACATTGGATGTTAGTGGTTTACTATTAAGAGCAAGCAAAATGGACAATGTTCCATAGTAAATCAAAGGCTAATCTGTCAGTTGATACTGTACTCAGATCCCACTGGCTCTTAGCTGATATTTATTTACTGGGGACTCCGGAGTGATATTTAGCACTGTGAAAGTGACCCTGAGATGAAATCCTTCTTTGGAACTATTTGCTGAGCTGGTGGCCCGCTTCTCCCCCTTTCTCCCTCTCTCTCTCCCTCCGTGCCAAGCTATTCCAGGCTTTTAACAAGCGGAAGAAGCTGCAAAAATAGAGGTTAGCTTTGACAGGGAGGCAACACACAATAAATACTTGCTTCTAAGATCTCCTCCACTCCAATACTTCCGAGCAGGAAAACAGGAAAGTTAAGTTACTTGAAGCGACCAGACAGAAGATTTATGAGAGTTCAGGGACCAAATGTAAATGGCAAAAGGGACGTATAAGGTATAAGTAATCGAAGTACAGGGGAAAAAATATTTTAAAATTCTGAAACACTTCAAGACTTTCAAGCATTTGCAGTATCGGTTTTGAACTTTATGTTGTCTGGGGTTTACAATTTATAGCCGTTATACACGTAAACCACCAACACACAATGTCAATTATAGTCCAAAATTTTTTAAACAAATTCAAGTTTTTTAAAATTATTTAAAAAGAGTTAACATACTTTTTGTAATTTTGTGTATGCATGGAATGTCTTGCCTTAAAAATATGTTTAGGGAGATGTACAGAACTGCGTTTCTTACTGCTTTTTTACTCTTGGACATGAATAAACTCTCAATAAAGGTGCAAAACCGTTGTCCTTGCAAATGTTGTCTTTTTGATGTTTTGGGGCCAATAAAACTGATTTGGTTGCCTTTCCTCTGGAAGGAGGATATCAGTGTCTTCCTGCTATCAAAGACTTTAAAACTGAATTGGAGAAAGAACAACTCTTCACACAGTCAGCCTGGTTTAAAGATCTGTAACTCCCCCATTGCAAATGTGATTATTATCACACATTGAATGGCTTGAGAATTAGAACTTTTTAGTTTCTTCAAAAATTACATTATTTCTGCCTCCCATGGACCTCTCCAAAATGACTTGGAAGAATCATGGAAATCCCCCCACACCCCTCCAACACCCCCCACCCCACCCCCCACCAATCAATACATACAAGATGCCAGCCCAATTTCTCATCCCACACAATAAAGCACTTTGAGATGCCATCCGGTGTGAAGGGCACTATATAAATGCAAGTTGTTGTTGCTGGTGTAATAATGCATGCACTTGATATAGCATATTAAAACTTCAAAACGCCTCGAAGCACTTCATAGCATATTCTGTAATGTGTAGGGACTGTGCATTTGAAAGCAAATAAATTACTTCTCTTAACATTTATAATAGATCCTGATGAAGTGTTAACCCTAACAGGGATCTGCTGCCATCTCCTATGCTCCAAAGGTAATTGGAATTCCGTTTATTCATAGAAAACAAAGGGTTTGGGCAAAAATCCTTGCTATTACCTTTTATCTTTTGTTAGGGCTTTACCATCAACCTTTGGCCTGTATCTGTCAAAATCATTAAGGGCAAAATCTTACCAACATAAATTATACCCATCAGGGTTTCTTCCTAAAAAAAACAGATTATTTGAAAGCTTTTTATACCACTGAAATCTTGTGCCATGGGTCTTAGTGTTTCACCCTATTTGTGTCACATAGAGTGGTACAATTTAGTCCTATCCGATTCAAGATACATTCCGTGACAGTGGGGTTGCATTGGAAAGCATTGGAAAGATCAGGTGTAGCTTTGGTCATGGTCGAGGATTGATTGTTGGGTGAGGGTTGCCAGCACCGTGGGGGCGACTCCCCTGCATGACTCACCTCATTCAGAAGTTGAGGGGAGAAAAGATTAGCAGTGCTCAAACACTTCCTCGCAATTCAATTTTGTGCCAGAAAT